CATCCAGATGTTTTCCATTATCTCCATCTTGGAAAAGCGAGGGATGGAGCTAACTGTTAAAAACCTTTTTTTTTTAACGGATGTATTTAATCAGGAAGTCCTGTGAGGATGACTACACTCTGATTCCAACTCGCTAAGTTTAAAACAAGGCTGTGCAGTCTCCATATTTCTGTTCCTGCTGGTTGCTGGATGCAAAACTTCTTTTCAAGCATTACTGAATTCAGATTTTACGAGCTGGCAGATGATTCCTGCTTATTTTTAAAGGAGAAAGATGAAAACCCCGAAGCAGTGAACCTTTCTCTGTAGTGTAAAGCGTGTCCTTTTCACACTGAAAGGCTGTTTTTTGCTTTGTGTACTTCACACAGGTTGAAAATACCGTCTCATATTTGGAGATTACTCCATTGAACGCTACCCCAACAGAGGTCGATTATCTTGTTAATAATTTCACCTCCTCACTACGTATGACTCTGGATACTGTAGCTCCTGTGAAAACTAAGGTCTCTAATCAGAAGTACCTGACTCTGTGGTATAATTCTCAAACACGTACCCTAAAGCAGATGACTCGTAATCTGGAGAGGAAATGGCGTGTCACAAATTTAGAGGATCATCATTTAGCCTGGAGAAATAGTTTGCTGCTTTATAAGAAAGCCCTCCGCAAAGCCAGAACATCTTACTATTCATCACTGATTGAAGAAAATAAGAACAACCCCAGGTTTCTCTTCAGCTCTGTAGCCAGGCTGACAAACAGTCAGAGCTCTGTTGAGCCAACCATCCCTTTAACGTTAACTAGTAATGACTTCATGAACTTCTTCACAAATAACATTGTAACCATAAAAGAAAAAAATTACCCATAATCATCTCTCTGTGGGGAAAAAAGAGCATATCTGCATGAAGCTGACAGAGGCAACGAACCAATCGCATCCATTTCAGTTGTCAAATCATCAAATTCACCTCTTCGCTTGTTTGTGCACCTGCACAGCTTCCTTCCTTATTTCATTTTAAATAAGCACGTCATAACGGCCTCAGCAGTCACTGCAACTATGTTCCATGCAGCTCTGGTTCCCTGCAAACGAGGCTGAAACCCTGACACCATCCCCCGGGTCAAAGGGCAAACTCACAGCTGAACTCTGAACGCCACCCTGCTGTAATAAAAACGACTTCCTGTGGAGTTGTTCCTGTATGAGCTCATCATTATGATCTATAGTAACTGATCAAAGTGTGTTTGAGTATAATGTCCTTTGTTGTGTTACAGGATTTAGGATTCATGTTCAGGTCAACTGGGATCAGTGATGATGGAGGAATTTTACTGCACTCACAGAATTCCTAAACAGGAAAGATGCTCCACTGGATCACAGCAGGAAAACATAACAAACTGAGATTTGATTTTTTTTATCTTATATTGGACAGATTTATTCAATGAGGTAAATTATTGTGACATCACAGGGTGATCTAACAATTAGCAGTTCACAGTAAAAACCAACAATCAGCTGAGAGAATGTTAATTAGTGGCTCAACAATCCTGAGGAGGGAGGGCGAGGGAGGGCGCTGCAGGTCCGCTAACCAAAATAATCCAGTGTGAGCTCAGGTTCAAGTGTTTGTCTCTGAAAACAGCGAGGCAGATACATGAGAGGAGGCTGAAGGAGAATCAGTCTGCTTTGGATTTAACAAATAACTCTTGTGACAGAAACCAGTGAGCACTGTGCAAAGGTCTGAGGGTCTGAGGATTAGGACTCAGGTGGAGCTCGGGATTCATCTACAGGAGAGCTGCATCATTACAAACTGAAGTCTGTGTGAACAGGTGACCTGGACGATATGCAGAAGTACAGGAACGCCATTTACCGTCTGATCACGAGCCGTCCCACGTTACTGTGACACATGCATGTATGCGTGCTTGGCTTTCTAGTTTAATGGCAACATTGAGGGTGAGGGTTAAGGCCCCATTAATCTGACACACTAACACTTTTATTTGTCACAGATTCAGCAGAGAGAAGTCACTTCTAACACCGGGTTTAGAAAATATAGTGGCAAAGTAAAGTGCACATTTTGTAGTCCATCATCTATAAATTGTAGGTTCAATATTGTGGACATCTGGTGGACATATACTCGTCTCTCACAGCGGTGAGACAAGTATGAGGCTGTTCCAGTTCTCAGCACGCAGTTCTTCTCTTTTCTTAAGTTTTTAGCGATTCTCCTACCCACGTTTCCAATACTGGAAATGTGACTGAGGTCAAGGAACAGAGGTTAGAAGTAGGAGATAGGAGGGACTTTTGGAACACACCCTTGGAGTCTCTTCTTTCCCCACCTTTGAGTCCAGGCCAGGTGTGGTTTCTCCTCGCTCCGGGCGTGGGTGGGTTCTCTCTCTGCAGTCAGGCCTCAGCTGGAGTCACCTCTGACATTTAAGGACCAGCTCAAGCATCCAATCCTTGCCAGATTTCAGGGTTAGGGTTAGGGGTTAGGGTCAGTCGGCTTCTTTATCGTTTCCTCGACTTCTCTGCACCAACTCTGTTCTCTCCCTGTTTCTGCTTTAACCAGCCTGGCTCATCAAGCCACTACTTATCTTCCTTCTCACTGTTGCCAAAGTGCTTGCTCAAAAGGGGTCATATGATTGTTGGGGCTTTCTTTGTTTGACTGCACTTCTCCAGTCCGAAAGACATTCTAAAGTGTCCTTGCTGTAGATTCTAGTGGTGTGGATCAGCGAATTGATGTCTCGTTCACTCTTGGCATACAAGTTGATGTCATCCATGTAGAGGTGGCGACTGACGATTGCTTCGTTCCGTAGTCGGATTCATGGCCAGTTGTGTCGATGATCTCACTGAGGGGGTTCAACCTGGAACAGCAGTGGGAACAGAGCATCTCCTTGGTAGGGCCCACACTTGATGATGACTTTTGCTGTGTGTTTGAAGTATCCAGTATTGTACGCCACATCCCCACTGGGTTCCTGATGAAGGCTCTTAGGGTCCTGATGATCTTGTATAGTTCTAGGCATTCCAGGATCCAGGTGTGGGGCACTGAGTCGTAGGCCTTCTTGTAATCAATCCAAGCAGTGCACAGTCTTGCAGTCTTGGGGAACTGCTCTTTCTTCCAGTAGCTGGTGTTTTGCCTCTCGGGTGCTCCTGTTGATTCCTTTCTGTGTCCCACTCATGTAGGCAATATCCCTGTTCATCCTAGTCACTATGATGCTTGACTGGAGCTTCCATGTGGTAGTGATGCAGGTTATTGGCCAGTAATTGGATAGGGCCGGTTCCTTCTGGCGATCCTTGAGGATCAGGACTGTCGGCCTCTCCTGTCTTGTCACACTCATTGACTGCTACGGGTTTCTCAATGACTGTTTGCGGTTTCTGACTCAGTCACAGCGCCTCATTTGAGTCTGCTTTTGAGTCCAGCCTTAATCTACAGCCCACAAAACAGTGAGAACAACTGTTGACCCGTCCACAAATCATGCTCTGCACAGACTCAGCCGACCTGTTCTTTATAAAAAGGTCTAAATTCTAAATGATGTTTCATTTGTGGTGGATGTCGGAGTCTGAGGGTGTTTTCACACATATAGTTGTTTATTCTGGTCCAGATCAGTTAATGAGGTAGTAAACTCACGAGTCGCCAAGCTGGTGGTGCGTACAGACGTGTACGCGGTGTCACAGCGCTCCCGACTACTGTGCACGTTTTTGTGTTTTTTATGCTTTTTATTGTGACTTGCTGCAATCACTGATCACTTTCACTCGTCAGGAATCGATAGATATCATCCATAGCCTGAACCTGGACTTTACTTTAGATTAGACACACAGTATTCAGAGATTGTGAGACCAGCAGGTGCTCCATGGGCTATTGTCTGGAACAGCAAGCAACACAGACGGCACTCCTCTCCCTGCACCTGAGCCAGGACCGCAACAAAACTCTGGTAAGGGAGGGGGGCCATAATGCATACAGAATTATAAAAAGTCACTGCTCACCAGACTTGGAGGCCATGTCCATTCAGTGCGGGCCCTTTTATCTACCTGCGAGCTAACAGTAGCCATAGTTATCATTGTTTACATCCAGAGGGCGTTCATGTTGTTGCTGGGGACTTTAATAAGGCATGTTTGAAATCTGTACTCCCCCAAAACCAACATGGTAAGGACACTTACCATGTTGGTTAGTTTTTCCCAGTGGTTTGGTTAGTTTTCACACAGAGAAACATTGAAGTGAACTCCAAGCGAACCAAAATGCATCACCACAAACAACGTGAGAATGTTCAGTCTGCCCACTGGTCACATGTGTCTGGGACAGGAGCAGTAAAACTAAACACAGGAGGAATGTGGTGTGTGAGAAAACTGAAAATTTAAGTTAACCAGCTAGCTGCCAGCCCGTACAGACCTGTGCACATTCATAGTAGCTTCCCACATTGAGAATACAATGCAGACATGGCTACAGTAGCTGGGCTGTTGGTTCAGATCGAGGTCTGATCCTGTTCACACCATTAACAAACCTCTCTGGAGTTGGTTTGGAACCATATCGAGAACACCTTCTCCAAAAGGGTCTCTGTTGTTTTGGTCCAAGTATGCTTACTGTATTCACACCTGCACCAACGAACCACACCGAAAAGAAAACCAACCAGAGTTGGGTTTAAACAGACTAAACACCCACCCTAGGCCTTTATACACTCAGTATGTAACGAATAAACGACTTGAAATTCAGATGTTTTTGGTTCCGCACACGTCGGGTATTAACTCACTTGAAAATACCGAAAAATGATTCCTGAAAAATCATGCTGTGAAAAAAATGGAGTGGACAGAAAGTGGCATTGAGCTGGTTCTGATGTTTCTAGGTGAAGACTGGATTCTCAGGAAAAGGCAGCAGGAGGAGAATTTCCTGGTTTGATCCCGGAGTCGAAGCTTTCAGACGTACTTCCGGATGTCAAAGAAATCATTTCACAGAGCCGACTGACCCTGGGAGGCACCTAGCTTTGAGTCTGAGGGAAAACAGGATTATTTTACTTTTTCACATCACTGTGTATTTAGTACTGATGCTACGATGATGCTTGTTACCAAACGCAGTGCTATGATTGGTCAGATCTGTTTATTCAAGTCTTGAAAAATCAGAAAAAGGCAACAAAAAAAATGTTGGGGGTTTAAAGTCTTACACAGCTTTTATTTTGAAGGTTTTTGGAAAGCTGAATGCACTCGGCTCATCTTCTGTAGTTTAAATGTGGCAGTAAATAAAATGTTCAGACATTTTTCACAGCATGTGAACAAGGGATTTTTGTTCATTAAAATATTACGTGTCATAGCTCAGTGGGCTACATACTGAACTCAGGCTGAGGGGCCTGGACCCCCGGGAGTGGTCCGCTGCAGTTATTGAATGATGTGACGTCATCTCCGCTTTATTTTGGAAAGGTTTGGAAAGAGTGGTGCTCTCTGCGGCTTGACTGCGCAGGTCCGCAGCTGGCGGCAGAGACAGACGCAGAGTTCGTCGTTCCCGGCTGGAGCACCGCCGGAGCCGCCTGCTTTGTTCGCCACAGGCTGAGCGCGCGGAGCCGGTGCTTCCAGTGCTTAGAGGAAACCTCCGTAGTTGCGAGCGCAGAGCGTTAATCTGCCGGGAGACCCGGCGGAGGGACCGGTGTGATTTGTGGGACGGTACACGGTGTAAAATGGCTCCCGGGCACCGCGAGCACCGACTCAGGTAAGAGTCCGCACCTGCCAACGGCTCTGACGTACTTGTGTCCGGAGGGCGGGGGGTGGCTGTGGCCGCGGCCGGTCCCTTTGCTTCACCGGACGTCTTTCTTCGGAGAGGAGCTTCAACCAAACTCTGTTGGAAAACCTCCATAAATAAGCCGATTCTCGTCCTTGTGGACCTGGGCTGCTTTTGGGCCCTGACCCGGGATCTGTGTTCGGGTTTGGGTCATTCGGCCTGTGTTTGGTCCGCGTGGGTGGTCGCTGTAGTCGGAGGTTGGTGTTTACCACTAAGAATCAGAGCGGGTGCTCGCCACCGCCCTCCGCGGCGCGATGTGGGTGGAAACCCCCCCCCAAAGCCCCCATCAGATAAGATAAGATAGAACTTTATTAATCCCTCGGGTGGGTTCCTCTGGGAAATTCGACTTCCAAAAAAAAGCACAGCAACGACCGATCAGCAGAGGCCCGGCGTGTTTACAGGGGCCCGCAGGCTGCAGGTGACCGGATGTTACTGACGGCGCCGCAGTACTGCGCGGGTCCGAGCCCCTCGCTGGGAAAGATGTTAAAACGCGTGTATTTTGAATGGAGTTTGGTAGGACTCGCTGTAACTGTGCATCTGCTGCTCAGATGTTTGGACTCATTACAGTCAGCTCCGCTGTCATCACACCTGCCACCTGTTTTCCGCTGAGTCTGCGCAGTTTGTCCGCTAGCAAACTAACAGGTTCAGGGTCCGCTATGACGTCACCCACACCTCTCTTACAGTTATGATTAACTTGAACTAAAGTGTGTATTTTCACAGTTGATGGGCTCGTGTTTCTGTGCAGCAAACGCTTTCACAGTTGCAAACAAAAATATGTGGCTATGACGTCATTACCGGGGCAGGCCTGTAACTGGTGAAACCTGTTCTGTTTACAGCAAACATCGATAAAGAAACCGGATAAGACGTATAAATATAAGTAGTCTTGATCCACCTGATTGAGCATTGATTAATGATTCATGGTTTCGTCACACTTGTTGCTTAGAGCCTTGAACCTGTGAGGTCAACACTGTCATCTGCTCTTTTTTTTTTTATTTTTTAATTCCTCTTAAATGGCCTGTATTTGTATAGCACTTTCACTCGTCCCTAAGGACCCCAAAGTGCTTTACTGCGCCCATCCACACACAGGTGATGGCAGCTACATTGTAGCCACAGCCACCCTGGGGCGCACTGACAGAGGCGAGGCTGCCGGACTCTGACCACCACCAGTAGGTAACGGGTGAAGTGTCTTGCCCAAGGACACAACGACCGAGACTGTCAGAGCCGGGGCTCGAACCGGCAACCTTCCGATTACAAGACGACCTCCCAACTCTTGAGCCACGATCGCCCCACAATCTTATTTTTATTCTGTAACAAAACTTTAATACAGCTTTTAGAATGAGGAGATTATGTATGGAGAGCAAACCGTATCAGGCTGTGCTCAGTCATCCAGGTGAGGAAGCCCTAAAAAGTTGATTCTGTTCATCCGGACGTTTTCAGTGAAGCGTTTCATCATCATCATCAGGTGACTTCTTCAGTCAGCGACAAGTGTGAAAACCTGCGCTCAGAGCCCCTCGCCGACGAGGTGACCGCCTTGGTGAGGAGGAGCAGCGGCCTCCTTGCCCCATCTCTGGGAGAGCCCACCCACCCTTCAGCAAAGGTCATATCCACCGTCTCGCTTCTTCACCTTCAGAGTAACCAGCAATAAATTCAGCCTTAGATTAATCCCGTGTTATCACACATTTCTGTAGCAACGTCAGGGCTGTGACTCCGCCTGGTGACAGGTGGCTGCATAACATGTAGGGCACACTTAGGTTAAAGCGTGCGTGTGGTCCGGACGAGTCGCACGCGTCTGCAGTCACAGTTCACGATTTAACGTGCTGACGACACTCGCACAGGCCGTGATGAAGACGAGCTGTGACGACAGATGAGATGAAGACGACGTCAGTTTATAACGCTGACTCTGAACTAACGAGCAGGTGAAACATGTCAGCGACTGTGTTCGTTTATTCTTTTTAGTGTAACCGAGAAAAAGGAAAAAACAGGATCTGCGTTCAGTTTCATCTTCAGCTGATCGGCACACGTCTGAACTTTTTATTACCTGTGACGAATCAGCAGCTTTTATCTCACCTGCTGGCGCCCACAGAAGGTACAAAAGTCCACCTGAGCACGCACACAGACGCACCTTTACCTGGAGCCGGTCTCATAGCGCAGGCTACAGATTTCAGCCGCTCCTCACTGACGAGCTGACGTCACAGATCAGATTGTTTAATCCCAGATAACCCGGATGTTTTTTGTCCCACAGAAGACGAAACGAATCAGATCTGCAGCCAGGCTCTGATTCAGTTGCTGATGTCACGCGGCATCAGCGACGCACGCCATGTGACGCGTCTGCCGGTCTTGAACGTCTCGATTTCTGCAGCCGGGTCGGAGACACCCGTGTGCAATTGTCTTGGTTTTTCTCATTTTAATTATGCTCCAGGTACGCAAACACTGCGGCTCTTTGTCAGCTCGTGCGTTGATTTCAGGGGGAGGAGCCTGGAAGTCAGAAACAGTCAGCAGCAGGCGCACTGAGCATCCTGGACGAGTTCAGGTGTGTGCAGCCAATCAGCTCGTCAGCGATGATGAGCGTCTCCCATCAGCCAGCCTCAGAGCCGCGTGGCTACAGACACACTTTAAATCTGAGTGATTGTCAGTTAGCAGAGGGGGCGGGGCTGAGGTGGCGATGAAAGCTGCTTTCATTAATCGTTATCAAGACTGAACAATTATCAAAAATACATTTATATTTAACTTATTGATCGATTATCAAAAATGAGAATTTAATCAGTCATTTCTCTGATTAATGTCAGTTATTGATCATCCTGCTGACCCCCACACACACAAAAGCTCACTGATGAATATTGATTATTATTGATTACCTGTCAGTTCTGCTGGAGCTGGTCCAGTTTTTAAATCATTGACTTTCAGTCAGTTTGATAAAATGATGATGCGCAGGGACTTCCTGCTGTAGCGCGATATTTATCTGGCCTCAGCCAAAAGGCTGATTGGGGACTTTCACCGCCGAGCGGGCGGTGGCGCAGACACCCGACTTTGTCATCACGAAGTAAGGTTTTCAAATGAATTCCGTAGCTGCAGCTGTTCTTGTTATGTTTATGAGCGTAAACCAGATTAATGCTGCGAAAGACGACATATTTTCACCTTAACTTCCTGTTATTCCTTCAGAATAAAGCTCCAGGGTGAAGCGTTGTAGCTTTGGCTGACCACCTCTTTGTCTCTCTATCCTCAGCTGATCAGCAGCTCCATGTGACGTCACTGCTTCTTCCAGCAGCGCTTCAACCGAGCTCTTCCTCCTCCTCTGCTACGAGGTGGCATGTCGGCGGCTCAGACCCAGAAGGAGAGCAGCGAGGCGGGCTGGGGCTGCCTGGAGGCTCTGGGTCTCAGTCAGAAGGAGATCGTCCTGGCTGAGGCCCTGCAGATGGAGTACGATGCCCTGTCCAAACTCAGACAGGACAAGAGCGGAACGGGACCCAGCCAGACCGGCTCCAAGACCCCCAATCCCTCCATCGAGCGCCACCAGTCCACACCTTCCCCGCCGGGAGGAAACCTGCTGATGGGCCTTTCCGGGTCCGAATCCTCCCTGAACCAAGCGGGAGGGTCCCAGTCTCCACAGTCCGCCCCAGCCAGGGCCCTCCCCCCTCAGGGCGGCTACGTCAAGGAGTCCCCATACATCCTGGACAGTTCTGAAGTCTGCAAGTTCAGGGACGCTTCTGTGCCCAGCCTTGGGGACTCTCCCGGATCCAGTTCAGGGTTTCTGCCAAAGGGTTTTCCCGCTCTTCCAGATGACACACCCCCCGCCATCCCACCAAGAAACCCCATCCCGCCACTGGCAGTGTCCGAGAACCCCTTCCTGCCCCCCCGACCCTCCACCGTGCCGCGGGACGTGAACCTGTTCATGCCCAACGTGGATCGGCCCAAAGTGACCTCCGGAGACCTGAACTATGACACCATCAACGACTCGCTGTCCCGACTAAATGACAGCTGGCAAGGTCGGAGGGCCAATGGCGACCAATCAGGCAAGCCCGTGGCCCGCAGCAAGACGCTCCCCCCTCAGGTGCCTCCCAGGACGTACGTAGCTGTTCCCAAGAGCAACAAGAACCAGCGTCCGGTCTCTGCAGACCCGGTAAGCCCCTCTGAGGTCGTGCGTCAGCTGTTTGTGTTGAGCTGTACTCTGATTGGCCACTTAAACAATTTCTTTCTGATTGCATTTCTAACACTGTTGAATACTGCAGTGTGTGATTATAAGCAGCATCTCTGTCTCTGAAGAGCTGCTTCTTCTGTAACGAGGGTCCCGCTGCACCCTTGGTGTCACTATGTTTCCACATGAATCAAACTCGAGCTGAACTGAAGCACACAGCCAGTTCAGCTGAGATGAATCCCAATACGTATCTCGAGTTCATCAGAACCGATCAGTTTAATTAACTCGCAGAAAAGTCAACAAAGCCACCAGCAGCTAATAAGTCAGGGGTGGATTCTGATGGGCTTCACCTGGACCTTTGTCACTTGGTTCTTAACACTCTCTGAAGGCCAGGTTAGATTGTGGCTGAGTGTGTCTCTCCTGATGTCAGCAGACCCCACCTGGATCATGTTTGGTCCAGGTGGGGTCCTTAAATTGTTCTGCTTTTGTTGTTGATCTGGTTTTGAAGATGATCTGGTCCTCAGCAGATCGTAGAGTTATTCAGATACAACCTGAGATGATGTGAAACACAGGACATCATTATTTATGCGCAGCTCTCTGAGCTCTGCAGCAGCTCGTTCTGTTGGAGATTTGCTGCCGTGCTCGCCGACCTGTCGACGGCCCGGTTTGGTCCAAGCTTCAGCTGTGATGACCTCAGATTTGAATACAGAGGAGTCACCGGTGCACTCGGGTCTTCCTTCTCTCTGCTGTTTGTTCTGGTGCTTTGTGGGCAGTTTGGGGTGAGTTTGATTGGTTCGCACTCAGGAAGACGTGGCGCCGTGCAGACACACCTGATCTGCAAAACCTCGTAGAGCTGCTTGCACTGCTGATCAGTAGATCAATATACGTGATTGTCGGCACCCAGCTGCTGCTCTGAGCTCTGTTAGGTTAGAGCTGCAGACAGACGGCGGCTAAAATGTTGGCGCTGACGGTAGCCAACATGAATCTGAGTGCGACAGCAGAAAACAGGAAGTGTTCGTCTTTGAGGGGCGTTAATCGCCTCCTTCGTGTTTCTGAGAGCAGGAAGCTGAATTTACATCATTGTCGATGTGTTTGTGTTCAGACACGCTGCAGCTGTGCAGCGGCTTCATTTAGAAAAAACACCCCCGCGCTCAGAGTTGTGTCACTTCCTGTCAGAAGTCCTGACAGGAAGTCCAGGTTTTCAGATGGTTTCTGGAGAAGTGCTGCGGTTTGATTCCCAGCCCTTCGCACGGAACCCAGTCAGACCAGTTCCACCAGCTGTAACTTGAAACCAGATTGGCAGGCGGCGTCCTGACACGCTTCCTTCGCCGCGCTTGGATGTGCTCAGACTGACGCTTCAGTTTCAGCATTTTTATTTCCCTCAAAACACGAACTCATCACCACATTCTTCCTCCTCCTCCTCTTCCTCCTTCTTCTTTTTCTGCAGCCTCAATTTCATTTCCTGCCTCAGACGTTTTTTCAATGTTTAAATGAAACGTAAAACAATCCCCGCCACGCTTTAATGTCGACCACACACACACACACACACTCTGAACTGTGTGTGTGAGAGTCTCTGATTGGCTGTCTTTGCGTGTCCTGCAGGTGTCGCTGGGCGCTAGGATGAACGGTTTCGGGTACGAGCTCTTCCAGGTGTCGGAGGAGCGTGACGAGGAGGTGGCAGCGTTCTGCCACACGCTGGATGTGTGAGTAGCCTGTTGCCGTGACGATCACATTCAGTCACAATCCTCTGTCTCTCCCTTGCAGGCGTCTCCACCTGCTGCCCTCTCACCTGTCTTTGCCCTCAGGCTGCGCTCGGCGTACCCGTGCTGTGACCGCTCAAAGAACGCCGGCTTTGTGTGGTCGCCCTCCGTCGGCCACGAAGAGCTCCATCAGGGCCTGGGGGTCAGTGTGAAGGTGACGGTCATCAGTGAGCACTTCAGAGAGCCGCTCACCTTTACCTGTGACAGTAAGACGTCTGGTTTTTCCGTGAGGATAGAAATGTCTGACTGAAAACGTTAGCTTCGTATGAATATGCAATACCCAAACGCGACCGGCGCGCTGGCTGCCATCTTGCTTTTTAAAATTCATCTGGGACACGCCATTATTTCCCCGGAGGGTCAGTCAGGTCAGCTCAGGGGTTAAAGGTCAGGAGAGCAAACAGAACAGCACTGACCCTTCAAAAGTCTGCCAGTGCAGTTTAAAGGAATTCAGTCAGTTTGTCCTCTTAAAGTCAGTTTTATGTCCAAGAAACGCTAAATTATGCTGTGATGTTATTTTACCCTGAAAGGACCTGCTGATGGCATCCAGCTGTGCGTGCGTGTGTAGAGTTATACTTCACCTGTTTATAATACTGCAGCGTGTGTGTGTGTGTCCGAGGTTCGTCCACCGTGGACCTGCTCATCTACCAGACTCTGTGCTACGCTCAGGACGACCTCGACCATGTGAACGTGGACGACTACCTGCTGAAGGTCTGCGGACATGACGAGTTCCTCCACAAGTAAGAACCTCAGAACCTCGGGGTCTCCGAGCCGTGCCTGAACTCAGCATCTCTGTAGGGGAGCGTCCTCTTCCAGCTGATCTGTGGTCTGTGGTTCAGACATAATAACAGAGAGCAGAGCTGTGGTTGCTGTTACACCAGCAGCAGTAATGACCGCACGCACGCACGCACAGTGCTCCAGCTCTGGGTTCACACACCAACGACGTCCTTGCTGTTTTAGGCGGTGTGTCTGTTTGCCTGTACAAATCCCCACTGTGTGTGTGTGTGTGTGTGTGTGTGTGTGTGTGTGTGTGTGTGTGTGTGTGTGTGTGTGTGTGTGTGTGTGTGTGTGTGTGTGTGTGTGTGTGTGTGTGAGATATCCTGGCGGAGCCTGGCTGGACTTCCTGTGGTGGAACAATGAGTGTTTATCACTTGTGAACAGCTGTCGGTCCGCCTGGCGCTCTGCTGGCTGTCGGTGTCTTTACGGCGTCACGTGTCCTGAAGTCTTTGAGACAGCCCGTTCGTCATGTTTCAGTACACTCAACATGCTTCACACAGACGTGTGTTGGTTTATAAGGACAAAGGCTGCAGTGCTGTAACTGACCTCAGGTCAGCAGACTGAGATATGATTGTGGGACAGTTTAAGATGTGCAGCTGATTACCTGAGAGGTGTGCTGGGTTCTTAACAGTGAGAGCTTTGTAATCTGAGCCAATGAAGTGCGTTCAGTACTGGCGTGATGTGCTCATATGTGCATGAAGCTCTGCTGCTGCTGATCTGGAGTGTGCTGTACGGACAGTTCCACATAGAGCAGGGCGATATGGCCAAAAATATTTATCACGATATACACTTGAAGATTTGCGATAACGATATAACTGACGATATAATTGACACGAGACAAAATACTTTACAACTCCTCAACTTTATTAGTGCAAAAAACCATCAATGTATTTCCACTTCAACAAGCAGCTGTTTTTTATCTGCATTAAAGTTATATAAACATTTAACAGTGCAAACTCCTCGCTGACAGTTTAACCAAAAGGCATTTCAGTGGAAACTGGCCGACACATCCTCAGCATAACCATGTATAACATCCACAACACTTTAAAAGAGGTTAAACACACACAGTACGGTAACATTATGCTGAAGCACAGTACGTATCACTCCACGAGGCCCCGCCTACGATAGCCGTAACGCTCCGACAATCCATCAAGCGGTGCGACTTCGTAGCTCAGCAAAGTTGTACTGAAACATTTGACAGATTTTCGAGCGCCGTGCACATAAAATCGTTTCGAGGTCAGTAAACACAACCAGAGTTCATACATAAGGCACACGGGATTATAAGGGGCTCTGTCGACTTTCAGAAAAATCAAAGGATTGATTTTAAGTGCGCCGTATTTTCCAAACAACACGGTAATAACGACGGCCCGCTAGCATGCGCTACCAAAAATAGTGCTTTGTTGTGAATCTGACGGACGAAAGCTAAACCAGTTCCACACCAGTGAAGCTGCAGCATTTTTACAAACCAGTTCTGGTTCATCCGTTTCATTCAACGATCCGCTCTCGCTCTTCTCGTTCTGCGTCACCGCCATGATTTGTCCACCATGTGCGTATGAAAACAAACAAACATGCGCATTTTACCCATATTCTATCGCGATATTTCCTTTTCTTATCGTTGCCCAACATTACACTGTGAACGGTATGATATGGCCCAGTTTCAGATATGAATATGTTTGTCGATGTGATTTTTCAGACCTGAGATCAGAGATATGTTCGAGCAAATATTTCTGTCTCGTCTGTTCAGTTTGGGACATGCACCATTAACACCCGTCAAGCAGCAGTGAGTACAGCTGTGTGTCGTCTGCATAGAATGGTATATCATGGAGCATGCACAGGTGACCCAGCGATGGCCCGAGGGCTGAAACTTCGACCCTCTGGGGCGTTTTCACACCTTCTTCCTGTGGTTTGGTTTGTTGTCACACAGAGAAAAATCCAAGTGAACTTCAAGCAAACCACATCAGTGTTCAGTCCGCTCATTGGCCAGGTGTGTCTGGGGACGGGACCAGCACAAGTAAACACAGGAACAAGGTGTGTGGGAGAAACCTGAGAAGTTGGGTTGTTTCCCGACTTGCTGCTAGCCTGTAATCAAATCAAATCACTTTTATTGTCACATCACATGTGCAGGCACACTGGCACAGCACATGCGAGTGAAATTCTTGTGTGCGAGCCCCACAAGCAACAGAGATGTGCAAACACAACAACACAAACGAGCAAAATACAAGAATGGCCAACCTGAAACTAATAAATATATGTACAATATATAATAGTGTATGCATTTCTGGATGTGTATACTAAATATTTTCCTGTGTGTGTGTGTGTGTGTGTGTGTGGTGTGTGTGTGTGTGTGTGTGTGTATACACATTTTTACAAATTAAATAGTAAAAAAAAAAAATAATAATAATAATAAAATATATAAAATATACAGAGTTGAATATGTGCAAAACAGTGGCGTTATGTACAGTATGGAGTGCATAATGTTGAAGTTCCAGTAGTGAAGCTGAGGTGTCTATGACGTGTTCAGCAGTCTGATGGCCTGATGGAAAAAGCTGTCTCTCAGTCTGCTGGTACGGGACCGGATGCTGCAGAACCTCCTTCCTGATGGAAGCAGTCTGAACAGTTTATGGCTGGGGTGACTGGAGTCCTTGATGATCCTCCCCGCTTTCCTCAGGCACCGCTTCCTGTAGATGTCTTGGAGGGAGGGAAGCTCACCTCCAATTATCCAATTATTGTACAGACCTGTGCAGGGTGAGAATACAAAAACACGTGGCTACGGGACCTCTTTTAGCTCCAGCTTGTGACGTGTTCCTGGTAGTTGGTTCAGGTCGGGTCACGTTCGCACCATGAGTGAACCGCTCGTTTTGCTCCGCAGCCGAGTGTGGTTACTGTGTTCATGCCTGCACCGCACCGAGGGGGATCGAACCAGAGCTTGATTTAAACAGACTAAACGCTGCAGGTGTTAAACTCCCTCAGATACGATGAGAGCCAGTCACCTCACCTGTTAAACCGGCTGGGTCTAAAGTCTGCGAAGCTTCAGAAATCCACTTAGTGAGTGGATTTTTCCAGCTGCTTTTATTGTGGAGGGGTTCTTAGAGGAAGCAGTATTGTGCCCTGTGTGTGTCTGACTGTGTGTGTCTTTCTGTGCGTCTCAGCGCGCAGACTCTGGGTGGGCTCGAGTTCGTTCAGCAGTGTCTGAAGTTCGACTGGGATGTCCGGCTGTGCCTCGTCAAGAGATCGTCCATCAGCATCGAGCTGGCCCGCACGGTACACGTAAACACACTCACTCACACACACAGCATATAAACCAGGGTGTGACCCGGTCACCCATCGTCGTCACGCCACTGCATGATTTGAGTCTTTGTTTTTACAGAAAGATGACGATGAGACGGCGTCCACCATGAACCACAGCATCCTGCTGCAGGAGCGTCCAATCAAACAGACAGTCACCAGGTGAGGGGCGGAGCTCGCAGCTCGCAGAGGCACTCTGATTTCCTCCAACAGCTGATCAATCAATCACCGATTTACTGATAACATCTGTCTGTCGATCAGGGAGGCTCTGACCCTGCTGCTCGACACATTTCACAACGAGGCCGAGTCCTTCCTGCTGTCAGAGGTGACACACACACACACACACACACTGATGTGTGGCGCTGCGCTCCGTCTTGTGTTCACGTTGATGAGGTTTGAGTTCATGAATGTGAAGGGGCGGAGCTTAAACTGAATCCGGACTATCAGAGATTTCATGAAAACATAAAGTCAGACTCTGAGCTGCTCGCTGAGCCTCCTCCTCTGTCCTGTCGTCTGTGAAGGTGGAGCTGCCTCTGCATGTGGAGCGCCTCGTCCAATCCGTGAAGGCGCTCTGCAGCTCGTTGGCTGCCGTGGAGACGCCCGACGTGACCTCGGCCCTTAACCAGCTCCCAGCGTGCCCTTGTCGCCTGCAGCCCAAAGTCCTGAAGGTAAACGTGTGCTTCAGTGAGGCTCAGAGCAGGTGAGGGTGTGAGTTTGTTCACTGACGGGTTACTCTCATCTGTCCTCCCAGGATGCATCAGTGCTGGCTGTCAGGGAGAACAGAGGTACGTACTAACAGGAAGCTCTGACTGCTGTGAAACGCTGTAAAAGCAGCCTCGGGAACACTAAGAGGATGCACTGGGGGGGCACCAAGCTTTGGAGGGTAATGTAGTGACTAATGTGAGTCTGTTGGCCCCAACCAACCAATCTGGTGACGTCACATCTCCGTACTGACAGAAAATGGCGCCGAACTTGTTTTTTAAACTTGAAGCTCTTGTTTCTTAAATCCAGCCTGACGGAGTTACACCTGTGTCAGTGTCTGAGAGCAGGGCTCAGCGTCAAGTCCTGGACAAACTGACAAAACACTTCAAAGACATGACAGAAACAAAGAAACTAAAAGTTAAAGATGTGCCTTCAGGCAGGTTTTAAAGCTGTCGAGTGTTGCAGAGGTCCGAAAAGCCTGGAGCTGAAGGAAGACCATTTCCTCCAGGACTTTGGACACCAAAGGGAGTTACAGATGAGTCTTTTTTGAGAACTGGCTGCACTGTGGCATGTTTGAAATCAGCTGGAGCTGTTCCTGTTAGAAGGGAGGTGTTAATAATGGATGGCACGCTTGGTGCAAGAGTGTCAACGAGTTCTTTGAAAAGGCGAGTGCGGATAATGTCGAGGCGAGACACGGAGGGCTTAAGACGGGAAACTACTTCAGCCAGAGCGCCCAGAGAAACGGGCTCAAAGTGATTGAACACAGGGGAACAGGAGGATCGTAAGCTGGAGGCATGCGAGTCCTGACAGCAGCAACGGTTTTCAGATAGCTGGAGACTCTGGAAACTGTGTGACGGGTTAATAACTGAATCAATGGTGAAATACGACTCGGGTCTGTGGCTGTTATTAGAGATGATGTCTGATAAATCACACGAGTTTTGTGGGGCAGCAAACATGGATGTTAAAATCCCCAAGAACTTGACCCCAGATAACAAGTCTAGAATAAAACCATTTGTTAAACTGGGGAGAACAATAAACAAGTGCACACAGCACAGGAGAATACAGATCCATCAAAGTAGTGATAACTCAGAACTACCATACATATCAGTGGCTTTAAATTTCACACCAGTGTGTGGATGACTGGATATGTAAAGCGCTTTGGGGTCCTTAGGGACTAGTAAAGCGCTATATAAATACAGGCCATTACCATTTACCATTTAAAAATGGATGCAAGACCTCCGCCATGACCAGTTAGCCACAGAGATTTGCAAAAATGACCGAAGCGATGAGTTCTGAAAAAGGGCTTAACTCACCAGAATCAAGGTTCAGTTGAGAATAAAACGCCAAGTCCAGGGAGGAGAAGAACCCACGAGGGAGCTGCTAACCAGCAATCAGGTGTGAGTACGAGGAAACCTAATCAAGACCGGGGACGGGTGGGAAGGGCGGAGATTCCAGGGAACCACCTCTACGGGGGGAGATGCGAAATGCTGTGAAGGTGGTTCATTAGCTGAGAGGAACCCAAATCGACCAGCAAAGATCGTCAGAACAGTTTGGAAAAACACCTTCCTGAAGCTACCAGGAAGCGCTATCCACAGAGCCTGGGATGTGGAGGAGTGTTACACACAACGAAGACACAACTTAGTCGAAGTGAACGTTATCAAAATGAGACAAAAGGCCCGGGACAGACTCCATGCTGTAAATTTATGTTTCATGTCCCCTTTAAACAAAACGTCTGAGAAAAGTCCAGCTTCACCCAAACTACCTGCGCTGCAGACCACAAATCCAGCACGGTTTTCTGTTGCAAAGGCCTGCTCTCTTTAAACGTATGGATAAATAATTCGCATTTTTATGTCACTTCATTGCATTTAATTCATTTCTTTAATACATTTAATTTTTTTACATTTTTGTTGGGGTCACGCGGGCCTTCCCGTCCCAGGCATCTTCCCCAGCTCTCTGAGGTGTTCCAGCTAGACACCTGACCTCTCCTGGGTGTGCCTCGGGGCGGAGCTGGTTGTAGGGGTAGAGCTGTAACTCCGCCCCCACAGTCACGACACTACCAGAGTGACTTCTTTGAACTGATTCTGTTTAATAAGTGACGATCCCGGTTTGTCTTCCTCTGACGCTCTAATGGTTCGCTGGCTTCTTTGTCGCCTCACAGAGAAAGTGGTGGAGAAGCTGACGGCGGCCATCTTGGATCTAGTGGAGCTGTACTGCAGCACATTTAATGCCAACTTCCACACGACGCCGCAGAGCCACTGCTGCACGGCGCCCATCCAAGAGGCTGGCCTCATCACAAACGTCCTCTCCTTCAACATCTACGCCGCCCACCGCATCCCCATCACGTGGGCTGCCAGGTAAGGAGCTCAAAAGGTACCCGCCCACAGGCTGAAGGGGGGGCGTCCTGTGTCAGTGCTGCAGGTTTAGGAGTCGCACAGTGCCGACTCAGTGGTGCTCACAACCAAACAACACACACACACCAAAGGTGAACTAACGGCAAACAAAAGGAGTGCCTCCGGACTCATGCTGCACCTCAGGGGATCCGAGTTACGTGCATAACCTCCAGGTTTTTTTTGGGCATGGTGGTGCTCTCTGAGGATTCTGGGATAGATTTATCTGCTCGTGAAGGAGGTGCTGGGGGGGTCTCCTGTGAGTGCAGCGCCACCTGCAGGTGGAAGAAGCTGAGCGCTTCGTGCTTCCTTTCTTCTTCTCTCATTGTCGTTGATAATTGAGCCTCAATCACATGCAGGTACGCGCAGACGCGCACAAACGCGCAGACGCACACAGACACGCACAGCTTGGGTTGGAGGCGTGTTGACTAAATCACACTTCTATGAAAACATCAGAAATGAAGAAGAATAAAGAAACTCAGGTGGTTCTGTGATTGGGGACAGGTGTGAATATGTGCTGCACAAGTAACTCGCCTGTCCTGCTGTCATTGGTCGCAGTTATGAATGCTTCTTCCTGTCCTGCTCTCTGACTCACGGAGGGGCGGAGCTTTGTGCGCCGCAGCACACCAGCAAGCAGTCGGTCAGCAAATACCTGTTCCACCTGGTGGTCTGGGACCAGAGGTACGTACCTGACCCTTACCTGTCAGAGCCGTGACATCACACGCACGCACACCTGACGGCACAGCAGAGTCACTGCATCACTGAAACTATTCCAGCAGACAGAAGCATCAGACACACCTGCACACACCTTACCTGAGTTTAATAAGATGCTAAAAGTAAGAATTTCCTGTTCTGCAAGTGTGTGTGTTTGTGTGCACGATGTCTTTGATTTTGAATGAATAAACTTTAATCTGTTTGTTTGTTGAGAAAAACGCTAAGCCCCCGCCCCCTCGCCATATCCCCTGCAGGGTGTGTTTCCCCGTGCAGATCAATCAGCTGCCCCGAGAGTCTCAGCTAACGGTGGTGCTGTACGCCAGCCCTCTGCCGCCCCCCGGAGGAGCTGAGGAGAAGGGGAAGCAGCGGCGCAGCATCGAGGCGCTGGGCTGGGTCACCATGCCGCTCTTCAACTTCAGACAGTGAGTCACATGACACTCAGACACCATCCATCCACGCAAACCTCAAACAGGCGGATGAAGAAGAAACTGAATAAGTACTGTCGGATGTTATTCAGCCGTATTCAGGCTTTATGTTTGATGTGATACCCAGGAAAATACTACGATACCATTCTGATAGCATTAAAAGTAACGCAGCATGTGGTCCATTTATCTGAGGTCGGTGCTGGTGCTGCGCCACAAAGTGATGGGCGGTGTTTACACTGTAGTGAATGACATGCTGATCTATAACGTGTGAAATGTTTCTATCGGGTCACTCAGAGAGTGAGGGTTACAGTAATGTAAGAGTGTAGGGTAGAACACAGAGCAGGTACAATAACATGCTCAGAGTTAAAGGCTCCGCCCAGGTTAACGGTTGTGTAACGCTGTAGTACTCAGTATTGTTGAAATCCTTCAAAAAGACCTCAGGGTGGCTCTGTGTTGAGCCGCTGACGAGGGGAGGGGCTGCGCTGAGCCGCTGACGAGGGGAGGGGCTGCGCTGAGCCGCTGGTGAGGGGAGGGGCTGCGTTCAGCCGCTGGTGAGCATGTCCTGGTCAAAAATGACTCCAAGGTTCCTCACAGCGTTACTGGAGGCCAAGGTAATGCCATCCAGAGTAAGAATCTGGTTAGATACCATATTTCTAAGCTTTTCAGGGCCGAGTACATTAACCTCAGTTTGATCTGAATGAAGAAGCAGAAAGTTAGCGGCCATCCAGGTCTTTGTCTTTAAGACATTCCTGCAGTTTAACTCATTGGTGTGTGTTATCTGGCTTCATGGACAGATAGAGCTGGGTGTCATCTGCATAGCAGTGTAAATGTATGCTATGTTAGGGCTGCTCGATTATGGCAAAAATGATAATCACGATTATTTTCACTGAAATTGAGATCACGATTATTTGCCGATATTTATTTAACCCTTTAAGACCTACTATAGAACCAAGTCCACCAGAGCTTATATTATTTTTATTTATTTTTTTACATGCTGTAGTGCCATTTGTGGGAGCATTTCAAGTTGCTATACATCAATACAACTGTTATAGCCCATATTTTAATAATATGTATGCATTAAGTCCATAGTAATTGCATAAATTGCAAAAAAGTGCAATAAACTACAAAAAAAATTGAAAATCGCTTTTGTTTTGTTTACATATATTTCTACTTGGAGAAATTTAAGAGGTTTATCCCTCAAAACTTTAAATACAATAAAGTTGCAAAAAATAGTTTCCCACCACAGGAAATTTATTTTGAGTGTCTTCATAGTTTTATTTTGGAGATACA